CCGCCGCCACCGAAGCCGATAGCTTGACAAAGGCGCCACCGAGTCTAACCTAACTAGTGAATGAATGAATGAATGAAATATACTTTATTGTACACAAACAACGGACACACGTAATCAACATAAACTAACACAAACTGTACAATAGGCTTAATTATTACTTCTAATAACTAGTGCTTAATTATTACTTCTTTAAGAATTTGCAACCGACTTCGAAAACGGAGGAGTTTCTGCTATGATCGTTACCACAGGACTCTCGACTGCGTGAGTTGATGATTTTTTTTTATTTGAAAGCTGGTGCTTCCCGTGTGGTCGCATATTAATTTCATCGGTATTGGACCTTGGGCTCCGGATGGGAGGAGAACTGTATTTGAAGTCGGTTTTCTTTGTGTTGATAAAAAAATGACCTGTAAGCGATGAGTTTGGCGAAGGAAAATTGCAGGGGACCTTGCAAGTGAGTTTTCATCGGCCGGAAAGTCAATTCAGATGTCAGCGCGAAAAGTCACTGCCAACTTTAATTGTTCACGTGCCGTATTTCGTCCGTTCGGTCGCGTTATCACAAAATTTCATATCTTATTTCCTGCCTGTCCAAATGGCGCGCGATGGTCGTCGATACGACGGAATTTCTGTTTAAATTGCGATGCGTTCGAATCGCAACCGCGCGTGGTATGGGTCACAAGAGACTGCGAGTGTGAATATGATATATCGAGACTCTATTACGCCGAAGTGAGCGATATTTGAAATTGTTTGTAATCTGTAAAGGTGACACTAGCAATCCGCCCGGGCTTCGCACGGGTGCAATATAAAACATATAAACCTTCCTCTTGAATCACTTTATCTAATAAAAATACCGCATCAAGATCCGTTCCGTAGTTTTAAAGATCTAAGCATACATAGCGGCAGACAGACAGCGGGACGACTTTGTTTTATACTATGTACTGAAGCACTACTTGCAATGCGAAAAAACAATGTAGATAAAAGACGATGAGATTTTCATAAGTGTGTTAATCGGCCGTTTAGCTTAGTGGTTAGCGCGTCTGTGCGAGAATCCTAAAAATGTGGGTTCCGTTCCTGCAGTCGCAAACGAAAACGTTTTCTACAAATTTTAATTTTTTTTATCTCAAATGCGGAGACCAGCATTGTAAAAATTAAAAAAATAAACAAACGAAATTAAAAAAAGAAATAAGGATAGTATACAAAAAAGCTCGTGTACTTCTCTCGACTGCCTGACTCTCGCTTATGCCTTACACCGGCGCTCTGCCTTCCATGAGTGCTTGAGGTAGGGGCCACTCCACAGATACGAACAACCATGAATTCGCATCCGCTTATTGACGAATACGTTTATTCCAAATGGCGCGTTTGCATTCAGACGTGCTTAAAGGGGCCCACCCATTGATAAACCCAGAAGCCCCCAAATCCGAGAATCTTTTGTTGTTTATGATGGTCATTTCCAAAGTTATTTTAGTCAAGGGTCTTCATGAGCATATGAGATTGCGAACCTCGTAAAGGTAAGCTAAGTAAAATAAAAAAAAGTAAAGTAACATCCTATACATATCCCACTGCTGGGCAAAGGCCTCCTCTTTTACAGAGGTTATGAGAGCAAAGTCCACAGTAGGACCACGCAGCAGCCTCGGCTGTTGCACGAATGGGCGGGTCGTCGGAAGTACAACGACCTCACAGAAGACCGGCGTAAAGTGGAAGTATGACAAATACTTTCGCGTTTCGTTTGGTGAGTGACGTAGCCGGAGCCCAATTTCCAAAAAGGTTGTCAACGCATCTGCAAACCCTCGGGTGTAGCACATGTCCATGGGCGGCGGTATTTACTTAACATCAGGTGAACCGCAAGCTCGTTTGCTACGTCTTTTATAAAAAAAATTTTTGGAAGAATTATAATTTTTTTTATGTGAAAAGTTGTCAAACGAGCAGACGGTTCCCCCTGCTACCTCACTCACCAGACGAAACGTAGAAGTGTAACACTTCTACTTTACGCCGTTCTTATGTGAGGTCGTGGTACCTACCTGGACGGACCAGCCTTAAATTTTTATATATACAGATCAGTAACAGTGGTAACGTTGGGTGTTCAAATGTTGACATCGTGATGTCACCTTTTTAGTAAGCATCATCAATTCAAACCATTGAATTGTTAGAAAAGCAGATGAACATTCTAACCGAGTGTGAATATAATTGAATCCGCCAATTTTTGCATACACCCTTCTATGTTTTGTAACTACAAGAATCAAATATAATCTTCTCGATATGACTTAGGACGTCCGAGCGCCGATAAGTGCGGCTATTAGGGAAAATATTTCTCGTCGGAAGACCGCTGCGAAGCACGTACGGCTTCCGAGCTCGCTCTTTGAAAATATTCCCTTGCACAAATTCCGTGCACTGCAAACAGGATATTACAGTTTTATTGTGCCGACTCGCTCGTGGGTGTGTGATTTGTGTGTGTGTGTGTTTGTGTGTTCATGACGGCCGTGACGTCGGGCGCGGCACGAAATACAAAGTACCCGTCGTTCGGGGAAATTCAATTCCTTGTATTCGCTGGAATGAAAACAAGTATATTTTTCCATACGGCGTCTTAAATATGGCCGCGTGTTGCACCGTCTCGGGTTGTTTGTGGTGTAAGCTTGTTGAGAAGTGATTCACACCACGTTTAGACACGTTTCGATACACGTGAGAGAAGAAAGATGTGATGTACGAGTGAGAGATGAAAACATCCCAAAGGGATGTAATAAAATAGTGCGGTACAATTTTACTATGGTAGGGCCACGCAACAGTTTTCTCTGTTGCAGGAGTGGGCAGGTCCGTCCGGGTAAGTACCACGACCTCGCAGAAGACCGGCGTAAAGTGGAAGTTTATCCGGGGAACACTTCATTGAAAGGTGGCAACGCATCTGACACTTTAGAGGTCGAAAAAAAATATGAAAGCAGAAGTGAGAAACTAACTTACTGCTTATACAAGAAAAGCAAACGTCTACGAAAGTTTCTTCACTTGGACCTAAAATATATTAATAAGCCTTTGTTAGTGCTCTTAATTTTATTATGCTATAAAATATGATTCTGCCTTAAACTTGATTAACTTAATTCAACAAATTTATATTTAATTCAAATTTAAACTTAACATATACTTAACTAATACCGATAATCGTTTAAAATGGACACTTGAACCTAATAAGTAATAAATTCTAGCCCGGATTAATGACTAATAAAGTATACTAAATAATAATAACTATAAGTAAATAAGAATATAAATATAATGAAACTAGCGCACCGAAATTGAGGCACTCAAATTACACCAATTTGTGTTATTAAAATTTAATTGAGTACCGACCCGAATGGCGTTGTGGGTAGTGTACCTGCCTCCTGCGCCAGAGGGTGTGGGTTCGATCCCCACTACTGGATAAATATTGTGTATTGAACATAGTATTTTTCTAGTGTCTGGGTGTTAATATATGTATAATATGTATTTATTTACAAAAGAAAAGTATGTTTAAGTATGTTTATCAGTTTTCTAGTACCCATATGCTTAGTTTGGGACTAGAGAATGTTGTGTAAAAATGTGTCCTAAAATATTTGTTTATTATTTATTCATTCTATATACGGCTATCTCTTTCCATGCAATACGTTCTAAATCATCTTTCTCATTCACTTATATATGTCATATAACGTAAAGCGGAACCATTTTTAAACGCCCCGCAATATGGACATGCGTTATCTATATTATAAAACATCAATGCCCGATATGTGATACTAGCTGCGTAATCACGTCTGCGTAAATAGGCTGAAGCTGTAACATTCAGACAGAAAGACAGATACATAAAATATGTGTATAAATTATAGCCTATATCTTATTCTGATGTATAAGCTGTATTATTATAAAGTTTCATTAAAATCCATTCAGTAGTATTTGCGTCAAATAGTAACAAACATCCATCCATACATACAAGTTTTCGCCTTTATAATATTAGTAAGGATGATTTATGGGCGACTTTACGATAAACAAATAAATAATCTTTAAATCGAAAAACGTCGGTGTAACAGGCGTCCATCAATTCCGAAGTCGGCTTAAAACTCGCAACGGGAACGTGACGAGGAACGTGGGTTTACGTCTGCATGGGGCGGACTAAAGGTGCCGTGAAGATAGTTATTTCAATATTTCTAAACTTTACAAAGTTCTGAATTCGTCATGTTACATTCTGTAGCATATAATGATTTCTTTTTTATGTGAAAAGTTGTTAAGTGGGCAGGCGGTTCACCTGCTGTTAAGTGATTACCGCCGCCCATGGACATCTACAATATAACGTTGTAGATGCGTTGTCAACCATTAACGATGATTGTTATCAGAACTAGCTTTCGGCGACGAAGAATGTGGCAACGTATTAGAAGCGTTGAAATTTAAATAACATACAAAATGTATCATTTAAATTTTTGGTAAGATATTAATAATAAAGTGTAATTAGATAAGTCCTAACCCTTAGCGAGGTAAATGAGAAGGTAAGTTTGTGGACAATTAACTTCTCCGTTGATCAGTGTTTCAGAAACCGGGCGTTAATATCGACTGTGGAATTTTATTATACATGCGCACACTTTGCCCCATGAACGATCTATTAACTTTTTGTAGACGAAACAATGGCGTTATTAATTCGTCCTTATTTCTAGTATTTAATTTATGTCTATCACTTTAGGTAACAATTAAGATTATTTCTAACATACAAAATATTACAATAAATATATTGGGATGCAACAGTGAGTATATTAATCTCTTTAAAAAGATCTCCGAGTGTATTCCGGGCTCCGATGTTATAGATATAGATGATATAGTCCATCAAATTTAATTTCAACGCGATATAATACCTGTCAAAATATGTAACACCTTTCAAAATAAGTTTCGGTTGACAAATTATAACCAGTTTATTAGTTCATGAGGATTGCATAACAGAGATTAGTCAGGATCACTTTAGGATAAAGAGCAATTGACAGGGGGATGAGAATTTTCATTTAATATTTGTAAATGGTGTAGGTAGCGGATATGTTGGGGCGTATCTCATTCAGGTTGGAGAAAACGTTCATCCGCTTCGTGTCCAGCACCCTCAGCGGTTCTCCGTAGACGTTTACGTGGTACTCCACTTTGCCAAAGTATTTCATGTGTACCTGTAACGAGAATTCATCATTTTTTTTTTTCGAAAAAGAGTCAAAGATCAAGCGGATCAACTAATGGCCCCCCATGAGTCACAACTGCGTTAACGGTTTTAAGGTGGGATTAGGCTCTCTTCTTGAAGGTGTACCCACAAACCTCAACACAGTGCTGTGATGGCCGTGTTAGGCAATGTTTCGATATTTTTTAACAGGGGACTGCTTATCGCTTAACTGTTATCCCACCGGATGGTAACTGGCGACGCAGCAGTGGAAGGTAGATCAGAAGAAGCTTAGTCTTACCGTCAAGGAGCCGCGTCACATTCGAACGATATTTCCTTGAGATGTTGCCGATGCAATTTGATGATATTTTTGCGTACTTACATATTTAAAAAAAGACCGCGGAGCTTCTGGCCGGTTCTTCTCTGGACAGGTCTAGTTTAGTGAACCGGAGGTAGTTTCTGACGTTCAATAAGAGATTAAAATAAGCCTATATTGAATAAAGAAATTATGATTTGACTTTGACTTTGATGCCTGGAAGAGCACAGCGTTACTCTCATACCTCGAAGTCGATCTGCAGCGTCGAGAACTGGTAGCAGGAGGGCCTGGTGGCGAGGCACAGCCTCTTCAGATGAATAGTGGGCTGAACTTTGCCGTCCTGGTCACCGCGAAACACTATGCAGGAGTATTCGTACCTCGCCAGTATCGTGAACTGTTAGAGAAAAATAAAAAAATAAAGTAACAGCCTATATAATATGTGATATGTCCCACAGCTGGGTAAAGGCCTCCTCTGCACAGAGGGTATTAGGGCATAGTCCACTACGCGCTGATTGGCGGACTTCACATATCTTGTCATTATTTTAAAAATATGCAGGCTTCCTCATTATGTTTTTCTTCGCCGCTGAGCACTTGATAAGTCAGTTTAAAATTGACAATTTCATTGGTGCCGGCACAGGGGATAGAACTCGAATTACTACAAATATTACCAAATATATTGAAATGATAATTACTTTCAAAAATAGTTTAAAGCAGTGTTTTTTTTTTCGATTTGCATTGTTTAACTGATTGATTGTACTTTAGCTTGATTATGAACACAGGTTATTCTTTTAAATAACAGTCTGTGGAATATTTGAAATACCTACATGTATACAAATGTTCTATTTTTATAGGGGCAGGAGCAGTACTAAAAAAGTATAAAATAGTCGTACATAACGATCTACACTATAATTATGTTTATTATTTTTAAGAGTCTTACATTGTAAATAGCCGTGCGTGGTTTGGGAACTTCGGGCATGATTGCGGTGTGGTCTGTGTATATCTCAACAATTTTCTCTTCGGGGTCGCAAGGTCCGAACCTCTGCACGTTTGACATCCCTAAAATAAATAAATAAATAATATAGGACACATTCTTACACAACGTTGTCTAGTCCCAAAGCAAGCGACGCTCGTACTATGGGTACTAGATAACTGATAAACATACTTAAACATACTTTACTATTGAAAATAATTACATATTATATATAAATAAACACCCAGACACTGGAAAAACACTATGTTCATCACACAAATTTTTTTCAGTGGTGGGGATCGAACCCACACCCTCTAGCGCAAGATGCCGGTTTACTACACCAACCGGGTCGTCACATGAAGCGATTGATTAGACTGGCTGGCGTTAAGCATAGCAAGGAAGAGTAGATAGATATTGAGATAATCGTGTGAGTATATTGTTCGCTTTGTTAGAGCGTCTGGATGCGTCACTCGGATTAAGCAGGGTCAAATTCCGCGGCGACGAAAAGCGAATATCGACAATTTATCTACAACAAAACGTCATTTTTAACTAAAGAAGTGGTCAATCAGACAAATCATTATCACGTTTAGCGTTTAGCGTCTAAATGAGTACGGTTGGAGAGGACGCGCTGTTTAGTGGAGGTGGTTTATCTTGATTCTCTATGAGAAATTCTCTATCAGGTGAACCGACAGTTTGCGTGCACTCTTCTTCTTGACTCCTCAAGCCCGTCTTGACCTCGAACTCTTCCCATGAATGAAGCTCCTCCGATAGGTCCGAAACTAGTCGATATATACACCGATACTACCTGAGTTTAGACGTTTTATGTTTCCCGTAATAATGTCTCCGAATGTTTTAATAACATTATTGCTCACGTCTAAAGTCTAACTAATAAAGAATACTAACATCTATAATAGAATAGTCTAAAGAATACTAACGTCTTCTCATTATGATTTCATTGGGTGCCACCCTGGTGATCGCTGGCGTTCCGATCCTCTCGATGTTCGTACGAACCCACTGATGGTACATGCCGTAGTCCAGAAATCTCGCGGGCGATTCGCAACCAGGCCCGTGCACTCCAAAGCCGACCTGGGATAGTTGTTGTTGCGATTGTGGATTGAGGGAGGGAACTAATGCCGAGGAGTATATAACAAGAAGTAACTGCATTATTCATAGTGTATAGTGCATACCTAACTAGGTACTATACACTTTTGTTAAGTGCGGCCTAAATCGAGAGACTAGGGTTGAAACGCGTTTCATAGTGTATAGTGCATACCTCACTAGATACTATACACTTTTGTTAATTGTGGCCTAAATCGACAGACGAAGGTTGAAACGCGTCCCCACTTTACAAAATATGTTGAAGGGCCACTTTGTGGATACAATTGTTGGATAAATAACTGTAACCACGTAACAGCTTCAGCAGTTGAACGAATGGGCAGGTCCGTCCGGCTAAGTACCACGACCTCACAGAAGACCGGCGTGAAGTGGAAGTTCTATACTTCGTCGTTTCGTGTGGTGATTGAGGTAGACGGAGCCCACTTTATTAAAAGGTGGCAACGCGTCTGCAAATCTACGAGTGTTGCAAATGTCGACGGTGGTTATCACTTAAATCAAGTGAACTGCCATTTCATTTGCCACCTTCTCGCAACCAGCGAAGTTTACACGGTGTGCGCGCGCATCGTTTATATTTTACACTTGTATTGTTTTCCAAACGCGCCAAAAGAAGTATAACTTCAAAAAACTGCACAAACTAAATCAACAATTTGTTACCTTGCGATAGCATCGGTGAAATTACCGTGACCATAATTTCCTGAAGTATATATGTATGATCTTACCAGCATCCATCTGCCATCTTGCTTGACAACAAGGAATACACCGCTTTGCCACAAGCATTCCCCGCCTCCCAGAGCTTTGGCGCACACTGTATATTTTGGCCAAACACTCTGAATGTCCAACTAGAAAGCATAAGCGCCTTTGGTTAACCATCATCATCATCCAACTGTGGTAGGGCCACGCAATAGTTTTCGCTGTTGCACAAATGGGCAGGCCAGTCCGGGGAAGTACCACGACCTCGCAGAAGACCGGCGTGAAGTAAAAGTGTAATACCTCTGTGTTCGTCTTGTGAGTGAGGTGTCCAGAGCCCATTTTATTTAAAGATGGCATCGCATCTGCAACCCTACAGGATTGCAAATGTCCAAGGGTGGCGGTTATCACTTAACATCAGGTGATCCACCAGCTCTCTTGCCGCCTTGTCATATAAAAAAATCATTCATTATTTCATAGGTCTCCCCCACAGATTGCTTCGTGGCACGATCCCTAGGCACCTGCATCCATTGACCATAATATGTATTATATGCAACATAATACTTATAAATCATATATTAGTATAGTTATCCATATAGTATATCGTATATAAGTTGTATTGTACGGCCGTTACCAAATGGTAAACATTTAAAGACTTAAAAAAATCCATTTGGCATATAATTTTTTTTACACGATCATAGCAAAATATGTTTTGGTAGCTTGCACTGAAGTTGCGTTATATGAGTCTTACACCAGATCTTCGGTAAAAAGTTTTACACTCCTTGTTGTCGACGTAAGTCATTTTGTAGACATTGATTTTCGAGGACATGCAATCTGAAATTTAAAAAAAACAAGAATCTTTAATGGCTTTTGCGTTGCTGTATCAGCGCATTATTCAGCATCAATCAATGGCAGTGCGACTATATTTAGCCAACCGAAGGCACCTTTAAATGCGTTGAATTATGTATCGTGATTCCGGCATCTATAGTGTGATTGTGTGTGTTTCATGGATATCTTGTATTAACTGATGTTTTTGCTTTCTGTCCCGAGACTATTAAAGCTTCATCTGACGCAGAAACGGTGGGCTAGCCAGAACCCACGGGTTTGGGCCCTCCGCTGTGGGTAGGACCTGGCATGTGCTCATGCGTGCGTTTAGCTATGGTATGTCATTAAAGGGCCATCGAGGTTGCGGTTCGGATTCACAGATACTGTATTCTATTAGTGTTCAGGCTCAATATCTATGATAACAATTTGGCGATTGCCCTATTATAAGATATCAATAATTGTATTGTATTGTTTTTTCTGTACTAAAAAAAAAACAGGTCATCTATAGGTAAACACTATCCACTATTGCGAGATCTTTTTACACACACAAATTACATCTAAAATAACAAAAATCCGGAACAAGCATCATGAATGTCATGCAAATATTGGTCTGATAAAACATAAAGTACCCGGAGGACCGAGCTTTGCTCGGTTTGTTTTTTTTTTTTAAATCGTGTATTTTGGAAATTACATTTAGACACAAATTACTGAGTAATGAAATATGCATAATATCTTTCGATCTTATCGACGTAATAATAAGAAAATATGAACTGATGTTTTTCCCAAAAGAAAGAACTTTAAAAAAAAAGGGAAAAAAATAACGAAATAAACAATCGACAAATAATTAAAAATAAAGAAAGCAATGATATGGAATCGAAAAAAAAAGTTAAAAAATAAATGTGTAAATGATCGTGACGCGATCCACGGCCGTCTGTTTTGGGGCCGCCCGATTACCGACCGAGCTATTATGACATTTTCGCTTGCGACAAAATTTACCGTCATATTCGAATTATATTTTTCATTCCCTGAAAACAGGGATAAAAGGACATTTTCTAAAAATGAAACCTAGCTAGATCGATTTTTCGCCCCCAAATCTACGCACATACTAAATTTCATGAAAATCGCTGGTGCCGTTTCCGAGATTCCGATTATATATATATATGTATATACACAAGAAATGCTCGTTTAAAGGATAAGAGATACCAATACGACGTAGAAGCCGAATATCTTCTTATATGTTCTTATTTACTAGCTCATTGTTGGAACTTATGATCTTTAAACATTTCTTTAGTAGCAATTAATCAAGTTCTCGTGAGCAGTTAGTACAGCTATTTTTACGACTAGAGACTACAAGGTTCAATATTTTATGAGCCTATATTTTTAGTAGTTACCTTCGGGGAGAGATACGGCGTAGAAATGAGGCTTGTGAATCCTGTCGGGTGGTGGACATATAGGTCTTAGATCTAGAAAGTAAAATTTTTGATGATTTATTATTCACTATTTTTACATTAAATTTGTCCAATTTTTTAAAATAAATTATAAATCCTATTGAGAACAGATAGAGAGATGTTGTAAGAGAATATTTAAATCCTTATGCTGAAATACGATTAATTTTATTTACCTAGTAATTGATAATTAAAAAACAAAAAAAAGGAAAAAAATAAATCGAGTCGTTATATTATATAACGTAATGCGCGGGTATATCGCAGAAAAAAAATAAATAGTTTAGGAAACATTTTTACACAACATTTTCTAGTCCCAAACTAAAGCAAAGCTTGTACTATCTACTAGAAAACTGATAAACATACTTAAAATAATTTGTAAATAAATACATATTATATATATATATATATATGTATAAATATATATATAAACACCCAGACACTAGAAGAACACCATGTTCATCGCACGTACTTTTCCAGTAGTGGGGATCGAACCCACACCCTCTGGCGAAGGAGGCAGGTACACTACCCACTATGCCATTCGGGTCCCCAATGTTGCGCGGGTAATGACACAACAGTTAAATATATTACGCGCTACAGCTGAAGACGTATTGGATGGATTTGTTCTGGAACCTTGCCGCAGAACGCCCACGTCCAGCTGTATCAGCACCAGGGAGCTGAAGGTGCTCTTCAGGAAGTCCGGGTGGTAGGTGTAGTCGCGCACTTTGATCCTTGGCCCCGTGCAGTTGTGGCCGAGAATTACTTTGGACCTGGCCCTGTGGAGAGAGCAGAACGGTATCATAATTTCAAACAATTTTTTTTAACTTGTATTCGACGGATTTGTAGCGATGGAACCACTTCTGTTATTGAATGAAGTGGCTGCCAATTTCGGACAAACTGCAATAGCATTTCCATTTCCACGACTGGCGAAATAGAAGCGTAGTTAGTAAGATATAGGTGTACATAGTTTTGTGTATCGGTGGCTCAAAATAGATTGGCAACGCAACTGCAACCTAACGAAGGCTGTGGATTTGCATGGGCATATTTAACACCAGAACTACAAGTTACCTGACTGCCGTAAAATTCCCCTTCGGATGTACAACATGTTTTGATGGAATGTGTCAAGAAGAAAAAGGAGAGAGAGGAAATGATGGGAGCCTTGAACATAAAATCTTTCAACATAGGAATTGCGCAGTCAATCTTGTCTCTGCCAATTTAGAAGATGTAAAAAAATTATGTTGTGCAGCTTCTGTGTTCTCACAATAACCTAGATATAGTGTATTTCTAAAGTATAGAAATGAGATGGTAACAATGGGGTTGACATATCCAAAAACTATAAAAACCCCAAAACAAAATCGGATTAAAAAGAAAATTCCCCTTCGTTTCTACGAATTCTGAAAATTTCGATTGGTTGGACACATGACCCGGCAAAATGCTTACGCCTTCATAGGGTTTTTACTCTTTTATTGATTCCTTAACGGTTCTAGTGATTAAAACAAGACGAGACGAGAAAGCTCAAAGTTTCTTTCGAAGCCGTATATCATCTCGCATTTGCTGAAAAAGGTTCTGTTTTGTATGTATGGGTAGAAGATAGAATATACGATAGGTTATAAAATGTCCAATGGAAGCCTCTACTGGATCTGGGAACGAAGATTAGTGAATTATCTTCTAATTGATAAATTTATAACCGACTCTACTATTGGATTCGGGGTCAGGGTACGATTCCCATACAGAACAAGTATTTGTCTCACCCACAGATAGTTGTTTCGCATCTGGGTGTTTGTTGGCATGAAATTTATGGTTGTAAATCATCAGTACTACACAGGATAATGTTATCCGAAAGTAAGGGCAAGGTTTAAAAAAAAAGAAATCAAAAGAAAGAAAGGGCTTGTATGGAGTGTATGAAATAAACAAATATGTCGTTGACAAAAATTTAATCAACTACATATTTGTTATCTACTATTGATACTATATTCCCTATATGTAGTTGACAAAAATTTAGTCAACTACATATTTGTTATCTACTATTACTACTATGATACTATATTCCCTGAAAAATCAAACCTGAAGTCAATTTTGGGCAAGTTGGCGATTTCGATTGCAGCGCCGAGGACAAGCTGTTTCGTTATCAGAATCACTGGCGACGATGTTAGTTCACCTTCTGCGAGTAAACAGATATTCAAGATTAAATTCAAGGTGAATAATACACTGCGGCTGGGCCGTATTGAAAAAAATCTCTGTAGTCTTTGGAACTTTGGAAAAATTATATATATTTTATTAACCACTGATAGTTTTAAACTTTTGATTTAAGATTCCCATCCTAGACCATTCTCATCCTAGACAACTGATTTTAAATGTTCATAAGGCCACTGATTTGAAATCCAATGGTATTAAAAATTTTCTATTTTTCGGATTATCTACGGGCAAAAATCATCTTTCTGGTAGGTTTTGTGAGGGGCCTGTTGTTAATAAGAGTTAAAAAAAGATAAGAATTCAAACGTCTTCTTTTTACGACTAATTGTCTGATAGAAAAGGGATCAAACTGGCAGTTTGATCAATAGATTGAATCTTAAGAATTCAGTTTTCTCCTCGACTTTAGATATGGAAGAAGAAAACAAAGGAAGAATGTAATCGGTAATACGCACTCAAAGGGTACACGAGAACACCAAACCATGGATACTCTTCAATATAAACCTCTCCATCACCAACGTCCGGAGTTCTTGATTTGTCTATTCCGCATTTGTTTATGAGCTTTTTCGTTACGTTCGCTGGAAATGTTTGACAGTGGCTCGTTTAAGATAGAACCTAGTACTCAAGCATGGGGTTAAACTGACAGAAGGTCACACCAATGACCGTTGGCAACACTAAAATATATTTTTTATTAAATGTAATTCTCGGCAACTGTTATAGGCTCTATAAATGATTTTTTGCGTGAAAAGTTGAGTGTTAAACGCACCTGATATCTACGGAACCTGAAGGGTTGCAGACGCGTCGCCAACCTCTTAAAAGGGAGCATCAGTAGTCTCGCTCATTAGACAATTCACCCTGGTCTAGTGTGGCAATTACTTCTCCGGACTAGTCTGCCCATTCGTGCAACAGCAGTTGATGCTACCACAGTAAAATATAGAGTGGTGCTACATTTTTAGAAAATAACAAAACAGAAAGGTATTTCACCTTCTTAAAATAAGCTTTAAACACTAAACGTTAAATTACTAAATAGATCTATTGTTACGGATTTAAATGGATTCATTATAAACTTTAATTCCAAATGTTTCCAATACTTTGCATCCTAAATTGTAAATAGGACGCGATAAAATGAGTAAATTTAGTTTTATTTAACATCGTGTTTTATTCACGCAACACAATAAATTACCATTTATCAAGATGGTTCGAGATTACACTTGTTCTGTACTTTTAAGAAATTTTTATTTTAGAAATTGAACTACGAAAATGTATACGATTATAAAATATGGAACAGTACTTAATGGAAGAGTTGATTTTGATTTTGCCTCTGGATTTATATATTTTACTTTCAGTTCCAGTAAAACGCTCAATCGAAGCCTCTTTCGGCTCTTATGAATATCCTCCTTTACTTACTAGATTTGTTTATTATCCCAGCTGGAAACGACGCCGACACTGAAATAAATGTGGGTTATGTATTCGTCTCTATCCGTTGAAATGCAATCATAGATAAGACATATATACTGAATGCAATTGATAACGGTTTATTTAAATAACTTGGTATTATCGGTAAATGTCAAAAAGATGTTATTGGTTGCCATGTTAATGCCGCGAAGGTTACGAAGAGACATGTAAGAGCAAGTAGAGTTATAATGGAAATATCTTAAAAAGCACCCTACGCTTTTCAGCGTATTATATATTTTTTGTTAATCACACTCCATAATTAAAATTAATTATAAAATTATTTTCTACTTTTCAGTTTGGTTATCTACAAAATCTTTTTAAACTATTATTTATTTTCTATTTTCTTGTTCTGCTAAGTATGAAAGCGTGTTTTTTATTTTTCGTTTTATAATGCGTACTTGGCACAAGGACACTATCATTGTAAGCCGGGAATCGGATTTGGAAAATAGCTAATCCTGTCCTGATGAGGATAATGGGAAAAAGTACTTAAATTATTGCATAGTTATGGGTCTTTGACTAGTGTGTAAAGTTTGATTTAAATCCGTTCGTTCAAAGTCGGGTGAAATGCCATTTGAAGATTCCGTTACATACATACATACATACATACATACATACATACATACATACATACATACATACATACATACAGGTGAAACTAATATAAGCGTGTTAATAACATACCCCTCGGAACAGCAAGTACAGATAAGATGCACACGTGAATTATCTTGCCGACCATTTCTTCGTTTTCTCGCTTTCTTTAGGGCCAGTATTGGGAAGTGTATATGCCTTTTAGACAAAAAAAAAAACAAAGAGGACGCGTGTCCCACTTTCACTCAGAATGACACAAGACAGTTTGAAATGGAAGAACAGTGATATGCGGCTTGCAATGCGTGCGCTCACCTTTGTTATGTAAACAGCGGAACGCGCGGAAAACACGTTGCATCTGAAACGGATGACGCGCTGTCAAATCCACAATGGATAGTGCATCAATATTTGTACACATTTTTACATAACATTATCTAGCCCCAAACTAGGCAAAGCTTGTACTGAGTATTAAGTAACTGATAAACATACTTAAATATGTTTATATTCTGTGAATAAACACATGTTATAGATATAATAGTAGACCCGACAGACGTTGTCGTGTACACATGTCTTAAATCTGTTTGTATATATGTTTTGACGTAAAGTTTACGCTTTATGTCCCACTGCTGGCCAAAAGCCTCCTCTGTACAGAGGGTATTAGGACATAGCACTGATATTAGTCAAATTCATACATTTTCATTATTGGGTATATAGCTGAGCTACTTCAAAGGGTATATTTCGTTTTACGCACACAGTCCTAATTTTAGGTAGTTATAAGTTATGTTTATATGGTATGGAATATTTGTGTTGTTTCATTAAATGTGGTAGCTCAATGTCCGGGCCCTCGCCTTTAATTCAATATACTCGAGCAACTTGAGATCGATCCCCGGTGCCGGCACCAATGGAGTTTTTAAATTTAATTGCTGACTTATCACGTGCTCCGCGGTGAAGGAAAACATCGTGAGGAAACCTGCATATTTTCGAAATAATAACAAAAAAATATATATTTCGAAGATATGTGAAGTTAGCCAATCCGTAGTGGGGCCGCGTGGTGGACTATGCCCTGATACCCTCTGTATAGAGGAGGCCTTTGCCCAACAGTGGGACATGTATAGGCTGTTACTTTACTTTACTTTACTTTTTATTAAACATTGTGTTTTTGATTTGATTTCTTCATATTTTTATGATTAGTATGTATTTTGTATGAATGTATAATTGTTCTATGTTAAATATTTTCTTCTTTAATGTCCAAATTTTTGTTTAGCTTCTGCAGCCATCTGTATTCGCAGAACTTATGTTATATTCTAAATATATGAATGCACATTATGGATGATGAACTTAACGGCCATATTTAAAAATTACCGTACATAATTGTCGTATGTCGTTCGTAATAAAACCGAGCATCATTCAAGCGTTGACAATTACGTTATCCACACGAGGAGTTTCTTGTTTACTTTATGTCACAAACAACAACAGTGATTTAATTCGAAGAGACGGTTCGGTGGAGATTGTTTTAACTGTGCTGCATCGTCAGATTTGCCTTTATAGGGCCAACCAGCAGCGTTTAAAGTTTGTTTATTTGCCTTGTGAAATTTTTACTACTGCTGTTCTTATTGTTTATTATTAATGTAATTCTATTTTTAAAATTATACTTCTTTGGAAAAAGTTATGATACGATCATATTTTTATATTGCGCGCGCACCACAATTATTAATTTTTGGCCATTTAAAAAAAAAGTGATTTTAGACTAAAATATTATACATGATGTTGACATACCCTGATGTTTTAGGGTTCCGTACCTAAAGGGTAAAACAGGACCCTATAACTACGACTCCGCTGTATGTCTGTATGTTTGTCTGTCACCAGTCTGCATCTCGTGAACCGTGATGGTAGACAGTTGAAATTTTCACAGATGATATATTTGACGCTTGATGCTATAGCCACTAAGCTAAACGGCTGATTGCAACACAGAGGAAAGTCTTTTCGTACTTTTTCTACAAATTTTAATGTTTCATCTTAAGTGCAGAGATTAGATTTAGAATTATAGTTAAGATTTAGAGATTAAAAATTAAATTTCTAAAAAGCAATGGCGACATCTATCGATCGAATTATGGTTGAAAAACAATAATCGAAGTTGTGGATGCGCCAAGTATACGTTAAGATACGTTAAGATTTCCGTCGGTGTGGTAATCACCCGTTAAGCTTAGTGGCTAAAGCGTAAGGCCGCGAAGGCCGAAGACATGGGTTCGATTCTCACTTCGGCGAAATCTTTTCATACTTTTTCTACAAATTTTATTTAATTCATTATAATTGTTTAATTATTCGTGAGCTTGCGTTTATTCTTATATATCTAATGAATAACGATTGCTCGGTACTTAGTTTTCATTAGGTCGACTTAACCACGACCTTAATCGACTAGGGCATTGTCCGTATCAATTTAATTATGTAAGACTGTATTAAATTAACAATAACGCCGTGCGTAATGAAGATGTAGCATTTCAGATTAAATTGAAACGAAATGCTTTTGTCAAATGCATTCGGTTGATTAAATTGCTGAATTCGGGCATGATCAGTTCTTAAAATTATTGTATATATTTAATCTATGAATAATTTATTAGTACAGTTTGTTGTGATCTGTTTAAAAGTTGTTGGTTTGACTATTGCGTCGTGATATTTCCTACATCCTAAAGTGGGGGGGTGGTTGGTACTTGCTTTTGACGAATATAAAATTAATTGGAAGTTAAGGCTGTTGCTCTGCTGTAAACCTAAGTATTATTGTTTTGCAATTATTGATTTATTGTTGTATAAATTGGTGAAACGTATGTTTTATGATTTATTTCTAACACAATATCATAATGCTTTTTTTTGCGTTAGATTGTAACATATTGCAAAAGATTTATTATTATAAAATCAAATATAAATTTTAATGGTTACTTATCTAATTAATAAATCTATTAAAAAAGTAACGGATACATAGCAAAATAAAAGTTGACAAGATTACAAAAGTGGGACCGGTTACAGATCATCTAATCCCCTGATCACTCATCAGACGAATCGCGAAAGAATAATACCGCTTCATGCCGGCGTTTTGTGAAGCCGTGGTAATTACCCTGACGAGCTTGCCCATTCTTGCAACAGCTGGAGCCACCTCGTGGAGCTACCAAATAATTTTACTTATTAAAGTGGCAGTAATCTATGGCAGTCATATTGATTAAGGTTGTCAATGGTAGCGCGCAGGTTAGCAAACCTTTTCACGCTTCGATGAAACATACTAGCAACGTCAATTGCTTTCATGTTCAATGATCCGTGGCGGCGGGAACCAAGCGACGACTGTCCAGTATATTCATACATTAACATTCACGCTTGTCATGCGGGGGGGCGGGCAGAGGTTATCGATTTCCGCTTTCGTCGATGTGGTTCATGTATACACCGCATACAAGAACATTCTACATATCCCTGTTATGTATGAACTGTTTTTTTGCCCAGTAAGCTAAACAAAGTCAGTTAAACCTGTTTAGCCACAACCAGCACGACATTCTGCGTCCATATATGTGTAATCGTTTTTCTTGGTGCCCCCAGAGCTAGTGCGTTCCCACCGCCGTGAGGATTTGGAGATGCGTTGATAACCTTTAAGAAAATTGTTTCTAGTTGGCTCACTCACAAGACGAAACGAGAACAATTCACGATTGTTAGTCTTCTGTGCGGGTGTGGTAGATCTCTGGACGAGTCTGCCCAACATCAGAGCACTGACAATACATTTAAGTTTTAAAGTTTATGTGCACTTCATACAATTACTCTGAGCCTTCCTCATCTCTGTCAACTAGTGTTTGTTGAGCACCCTACGTAATAAAAACCATTCCGGGTTTAATACATAATACAATAAGGAATACAAAACAAACTCGCAATTTCTTAGGTAATTTTTCTACATATTAAAAAATGTAGAAAAATTATTTTTTTTTAAAATATTTAATTGTTAATTGTTGTTAAAAATAATTAATTTATCATCATCATCATTTCAGCCTGTTCGAGCCCACTGCTGAACATAGGCCTCCTCCATAGACTGCCACGAAGCACGATCCTGTGCCACCTGCATCCATCGACTTCTGAACATTTTTTTTTTTTTTTTTTTTTATGCGAAAAGTTGTCAAACGAGCAGACGGTTCACCTGATGTTAAGTGAATACCGCCGCCCATGGACATCTGCTACACTCGAGGGTTACAGATGCGTTGACAACCTTTTGAAAATTGGGCTCCGGCTACCTCACTCACCAGACGAAACGCGAAAGTATTTGTCATACTTCCACTTTACGCCGGTCTTCTGTGAGGTCGTGGTACTTACCCGGACGGGCCTGCCCATTCGTGCAATAGCCGAGGCTGCTGCGTGGCCCTACCACCGTAGATTTGCACAGGTCGTCACTCCATCTAGTGGGGGGTCGTCCCACACTGCGATGGCCAGTACGAGGCTGCCACTCGAGAACCTTTCTTCCCCAACGGTTATCGGTTCTACGAGCTATATGGCCGGCCCATCGCCACAAAATCGCCAATTAATTTATATAATTTAAAAAAAAAAATTCTTTACTAACGAAAAACAAAACCGACTTCATATATCTTTATTCATTTTATAATTGATTTTTAGCAGTTCCCTAAGTATCACCGGAGCCCAAGATCCAATACCGATGAAAATAACATGGGACTACATGGGAAGCGCCAACTTTCAAATAAAAAAAGAATCATCAAAATCGGGTCACTTAGTCCGAAGTTCTGAGGTAACAAACATAAAAAAAATACCGTCGAATTGACCATTGTCCTTCTTTTTTGACGTCTAATGAAAAGATGGTAGTGTCAACATCAAGGCTATTTTCAGTATGAATTCAATCTGAACTCTAGTATGCTGCCGTCTGCAAACTGTGTTGAATAATCGATGTACGTCGGTTTGCAGCGAAGGTAAACACGCTGTAAGCTGTAAGCTCGCTTGCCAAGGTCTAAGATTAGCTTTGACCAGGCAAAGGTGCCGCAGTGGGAGACATGTCTTGTACAATTATTCTTATACTATTTTGTTGTTATTTCATCTAACGTTTATATGAATTTCCGTTAAGGTGGATCGTAGCCAAGTTTATGAGAGTTCAAACGTTATTACTTTGATTATAATATT